CCGCTTACTAAAGGTTAAAGTTGGAAATTGGTTCTTGATTCGTCGAGGGGATGGGTCTAAAAGCCCATTAGTTGAGGAATTCATGGTGGATACCCAACTTAGTTATCTAAGTTCAATGTGGTTAAACTAAGCCATGGAAATACTCATAGTGTACATTTCTACATACATATCCCTATGACGAATAATGTACATGCATAGGATGAGCTTAATTGCTCTTAATAAATTCATAGCTCAGGCTTTAGGTGGTCTTAGTGAGAAAGACTTGATGAATTTACCTATTTTTGTTGAATATATATTTTTTTTAAGTTTATAACCCAGTGATGAGTGGGTAGTCCTAATCGCGAATTACTAGATGAATTTACCGCTAGAGAGGATGAGTTTATTAAAACTCTTAATGAATTCAAACCCAAGAGTTTGGGTGTTCCTAGTGAGAAGGAAATATTGAACTCACCGATTAATGAGGATGAATATTTATTCTTAATGATTTCTTATCCCAAAGTTTGGGTGGTTCATTTAAAACGAACTTGAAGTAATTCACTTTATCTACTATGAGGATAACTCGTTGTAAAAGCTCTTAATTATGTCAAAGCACGATTTTGAGTGATTTAGGTGGAGATAAACCTGATGAAATAACCTACATAAGTGAGAAGGATTAGCCACCTTCTATGAAAAACATTAGGTCACTTTTCTAGTACACTTATTAGAATCCTGAGGAAAGAGGGATAAACATATATAAACTCTTGTATATACTCTTTGTACACACATCAAGGACAAGGGGTTAGTTGTGTGTTATGAGTTCACCATAATCTTAGAAAGTTCAAGATTCGTTCACTTATCTAAGAGAATAATTACTCATCATCACTATGTACTAGTTCTAGATATGTTCACTAGTGCTTAAGAAATTAATCTTGATATTTCTCTTCTCGTGTTTTAACTTCAATCTCTCATTTTTATGAAAGAATTATCTCGCATTAGTGAGGGATTGTTCGTTAATGTTCAATTGTAGCATAATTTTTAAATTCTATTTAATTTTATTTTAAGTAGTCTTAAATTGTGCTTTAAAAATGATGATTTTGCCCATACTATTTAGCATATAAAAAGTGAGCAATTTCATTCATTTTAGATATCCAAAAGCAATTGTTTGCTTTGGAAACACTCTCATAAAGTGTTGTTTTAAGTTGAGAAAATAGCAATACCACAGCAACTCACTTCATATTTCGGTTGTATGGAATTTGGAGAGTCGTGCTAACCTCGGGGGGCTATTCGTCCATTGTAGCAATTGTACACATCGAGGCGAATTTACTTCTAAGGCAATGGTTAATACCACGACAAGTTAATCGAATCTTTGGTTAAATATTTTATTTAATATTTTCTAGTCACTGTTAACGCCTCGTTTTGTAACTATCTGTTTTTTTAACATCCGAGACTTTCGGGTCACAAAAATTTGGCTTATGACTCATTTTGTAAAAGGCGGGTTCTCGTAAGTTGTATACCCATAAAACTTGGATACCCGCATTTTTTGTTCCCGATTAATATTTATTTTATTTTTTATTTATATTAATTTTTTAGAAAAATCCACAAAAAATAAATTTCAAAACTTAAAAGTTTATAATACTAACATGAAAAAATTATAAATTTAAATTAATAATCTAAAAATAAGATATAAAAATATAAACTAAAATTATAAAATTATGTCTAAATTTAAAATAATTTAAGATTAAAATAAATAATTTAAATATTATGGTGAAATAATTTGGAAAATACAGAGATTTTGAATGTTGGGTAAAATGATTTTTAATTTAGAAATGAAAAATCTAATTAAAAATACAAATAAAATAAAAAAGGGAAATCGGGTCGGCGGGTACCCAGTTATGGGTAATTTTTTGATCTAGGTCTGACCTAGAAACCCGTCGAAAATAACGGGTCGAATACCCAACCCACAAAATCTGATATTTACTTTTAAAATACCCGGTAATTTTATACTTAATCGAAGAATCAATGAGTCGGGTATTTTCAAACACCCTTACCTCCTACATTGATATAACTAGAAAGAAAGAAATGAGAAGGGTGCATGTCCCTTTAATAATTTTTTTATCTAATGGTGATTTAAGTTTTTATAATTTTCTAGTCAGATGTTCGAGTACCAACTACTGTAGCAGGATGATTAAGCGTTCATTATTAAATGCTTAAGAGTATTTAGAACATATACTACTTTGTAATCAGCTTAGCTTAATCAATTTTTTTATAAATTTAAACATTAATAAATTAATATCTATTTTCTAAAATTTGAATTTAAATACTTAATATAATGAAATTAATAATTTAACTGCTCCTGATGTTCGATCTTGACTATGTCCTTACCCGACTAATACATTAATAGAAAAGGTTTTACTTTTTATTACATTAATTTTTTTTTCATATTTTAAAGATATACATAGGAACTAATCTAGCAATTAATTTTTTTTTTCCGGTTCCAATACTTTATCCTGATTGATTCGGATCAATCCACGTCGCATACCTAGTTTCGTGGGTAAATCTCCTAGCGAGATTTTTTACATACAGGAAGATTCGAACTAAAGACATTGCTTAAGTGATATCAAGCTGATTACTACTTAAACCAATTCCGATGGTATTCTTCTATGTTCTTTAATATATCTTTAATATATATATATTAAAAATATTTTATATATATATAATATATATATATATATGCTAAAAGTATATATATTAAAAATATTTTATATCTTTAATATATATATATATATATATATATATATATATATATATATATAAAGTATATAAAAAATAAAGAAGGAATTCACTTATATAATAACATAATATAGAACTATTTTAATTTTATATGTTTACAAATTTTTTTCAATTAACATTGTAACAATCTTATTATTATATTTTATCCATCTAAATCATGAATTTTAAAGTTTGAGTAAATTTAAATATTAAACTATCTGTGTTAAAGTAAAAAATATATATGTTAATATAAGCCTACGCCTTCCCCAAATTTAGAAAGAGTTTGTGAACAAATTTGCTCTGATCACAAAGCAGTCATTATTGCACGGCAAAATCACAATCATTTGACTTAACATCTTCACTAATCTGTATAGGTGATTAGACCGCATGATATTTATATGCCAAAGTCTCCACTCCAGAGTCCAGACCTACTTATTTTTGTGAAGATTTCAACCCTAGTTACTAATTAAAAGTACATTATTATTCGGAATTAAAACTAGTGTCGAATATCGATTTTTTTTTATATGTTTGAATTTGTATTAAATATGAAATATTGATATCAGATAAATTTAATTTATCTACATTATAAAAGATTAGATTTATTTATATGTTTGAATTTGTATTGAATATGAATGTGGAACACAGGATGCGCAAATATTTCTCCAAGGTATCAAGCATAAAGAAAAATAATAGATCTTACAATGTAAGAGCTTCAGAGTCATGGAGAAAGATGCCAATAATTATATGTTGTGCTTTGCTTTATTCTTTTATGTCTGAATGGGTACAATTCTATGCCGAATTTGGTGGCTAGAAAACAAAGGCAAAGACTTTTAAGCCATTAGAAGTTCTTTTCAATTATTTCCAACATCATGTGCTTTGGTCTTAAAGTCTTAAAAAAGAAAATGCAAATGCAAATCGTAAAGTGGCAAAATAACACTTGAGATTCCCAAAATATGGAAGATGATTCTTTGAAATCTCGAAATTTTCTCACATGCAGGAGTGGTTTTGCTCTTTATTCTACCATGCTAATAACCAAGGTTTCATACATCAACCTCACCGGAAGGGTAGTTATTCTGTGCGGCTGTCTAATCTAAAATTAATTTGTAACAGATTTTAATCTATAATGTTATCATGTCTAATTTAAAAAATTATAGAATTGATAATTTCTGTTACAATCGAGAATGGTACATTGTAATGGATTTTAACCTAAAATGTTACATGTATACTCTAAAAAAATTATATAATTGATAATAATTTCGGTTACAACCGAAGATGTCTTGAAGATAACTTTTTAGGTTGCAACCGGATTTATTATGGAGAACGTAATATTTTCGGTTTAAAATGTTATTTAAATTACTCTAAAAATTTCACTCTTGATAAATTTTTCGATTATAACCTTTTTTTTAATTAATACAAGATTAATTCAGAATTCATTTGATATATAATATCATTTTAATAGATTCACCAAATGTGAATAAAGTTAATTTTTTTTATTAGAATACATTGTTCAAACTCTATTCTTCTTAAAATTCCTTAATTTATATAAAATAAATTTGAGTATGAGTTGTTAATATAATAAAACTTAACAATTTAACCAAGATTTTGAACTGGACGATTCGTGGAACTGACAAAATGTCAAAAAAAATTTTTTGAGATTATGTTGGGGCAAATTTGAAGGTCGTCATTTCATTTCTAAAATGCAACTTTTCACTTGTGTAGATCTATGGTTAGATTTTTATTCAAAAAAATCTATGGTTTGATTTCCCCCACTAACACAATCCAAAAAAGGCATCTTCACCCTACATGTTCAATGGGTTGTTTGGTGTCAAAATCCATGTTCATTTGAACGCATTGTGCCTTCAACTTTTGTTCCAAAATTTGGGGACCATGTGAACTTGTCCCACTATGCATTTTCAGTGCCTAAAGAAAAAAAAAGGTAATTTCCTTTCGTTTTATTACGAGTCAATTTGAATCATATTTCAAATTTAATATTTATTCAAGACTTAACTCAAATGCATAAAATATTACAAAATTAAAAGTGACCCTAACTACCCTAACTACCCTAACTATGATGGAATGTTTCTGAGATGTTAATGAACAAAATGTCAACTGATGTCACCACTCGACTTATGGTTCAGTTGACATTTTGTAATAATAAAGAATTCATTAACTGCATTATTCTTAAATATCCCCTTAAAAAGAAACTGACTTAACATTTTTCATGATAAATATAAAATATAAATATACATCACCGCTGGACAAAATGTGTATTTGGCTATATGACTAGAGGGGAATAAGCATAGGCCTAACCTAAATACGGATAATATCAATATTAGTCATCTCTTTGTCCTTGTCCTCGTGGCATCGATAAACATGGCTCGAGTCCAGTGCTCAACATCCTCAGTTTCTGATGGTGGAGGGGGAAATTTCAGATGCTCCACTATATCCCATTCATCGATAAGGCTTTCGTTCTTCCTGTTAACAGACATCTCATTTGCAAAAAGCAAACTGGCAGCCGAACTAGGAAGGTTGTGATCGGAGATGTTTTTCTGCACCGACAGGGGAAGAAAACAAAATCACAATGGTTTACTCAAATTGTCTAGCTCCAAAGTTACAGCCTAAAATTAGTTGCACTATTACGCTTGTTACGATTTTTTTAGCAGAGATAACTGGAAAAAGTGTATAAATTAACGACTCAAAGCCAGAAAAAAGAAATCGAGAAATATCCCAAACAATGCAAAGGAGTTCCATTTGAATGGAAAACCTGAGTATTAGAATATAATTTAGTCATTTTTTCTTGGAAATTCTGCCCCCAACTATAACTTAACAGCAACAGGAGACAGAAAAGTTTATATGTGAGAAAACTGTACCGAAGCATGTTTGGTCAAAATATGAGACAAAGGGGTTTCAAATATCAGTTATATGAATAAGAGAAGTCGACAAGTGACAATCTCAGAAGTTTCAGTAGAACAAATTCAAAGCCTCGAAGGCAATTCCGTACCGTAAAAGGCTGCATGTGTGCACTCTCCAGCAACGTGCTTGATGAAATAGGAGAATTCACATTCCATACAGATTTGTTAAGTTGTTGAGCTTGCTTACCCGACCTGAAAATAAAAAAGATAACAATGAACAACTCCAAAATACTGCATGCATCCACGTGTATAAAAAAAGCAGCATGTATTATTTCTTCATTGACAAGACAAACAAAAAAAATGGGCGCAATTCCAACTTTAAACTATAATCTCCAATTAGGTTCAACAATTGGGGCTAAAAAACAAATGAATTGAAGTACCAACAAAATAGAAAAAGAGAAAAAAAAATCATATCTGTCCAAGAGATGTTTTTCAGACCATTTATTATCATTATGTCGGTGATCTAACAAACTAGAACTGGGAATAACGTGCATCTTAAAATAAAAAAAGCTACTAATCAACTGGAATAGCTAATGGATAAGATTGACAGTAATTTCATTTTAGTATGTGGGGTGACATCCAAACTCCTGCCAAATGATATATGATTGTCTTCTCCTATCCAACTACAGCCATAAATTTCTCAATATTTATTTAATACAGAAAACGGATTTAGCACTTAAACTACCGTCTGAAAATAACTACAACTGCTTCTCCTTAAGTGTATTTAAATAACAACTAACCAATTGTTTCATACTTCCAAAACTTTCCAAACTGTACCTTGAACAAGCAATTTTCAAGGAAAAAACAGATCGAACTTCCTTAGTTGAAGATAGTGTGGCCAACAATTTAGAAAATGCTTCAAAGGTAGATGCCTCAGTAGGAACATCTAAACAGAGTGAGTTATAGCAGTAACTTGTTATGCATGCCACACTTTTCTTCAGAAGAGAGATCCCTTTCTGCAAGTCCTTGTGTGTTTCAACAGTGTGTGGAGAGGCAGAAGAATAATTGAAGCTATTTCTTGAATCCAGCTGAGGCCTTCTCTCAGATTCCATGGAAGCAACACCAAAATTACTAGAGCTTTTATCTGTCCATGAATTATCACCAGTAGCGGAGCAATAATTTTGGCGAGGTATAAAAAGCAGGTACTCATTGCTGCAAAGCACAAGCAATATTCAGTCCTACAGGAGAAAGCCTTGATAACTTGTGTAAAATAACATTTCATGGGTCATATACCTTCGAGAAGAAGGGCGTGCATCCCAATAAGAATCACGTTGCCATATCCGGGAGCAAGATCCCTGAGGTGAAATAAGCTATTAAAACAACTCAAAGAGCAAAATAAATAAATAAATAAATAAAAGTAGCTCAAAATCAGATATTTAAACAAATTTTTTGGACAGCATACAGGAGAAATCAGTTATTAGTTCTTACCGCAAAACCTGAATTATGAAGAGCAGGGGCAGCCAAATTGTGAACAAGAAGATTTAGAAGTTGCACCATGTAGCTGATTTAAATCCATGGATTACCGAAGAGTCAAAAACTGGAGTATTCATGCTAATAAAAGATTTGCATAAAAAAGAAGATAAAAATCTTTGGAAAGGGATATCCAAAAGTACATATTACAATGAGGAGAAAATAAGTGTAGCAGAGGTAGAGTTGCCATATAGCCTTGTAAAAATAAACAAAACAATACCCAAACGAGGCAGCAAGCTCCTCTGATGTAACAGAGTGCGGATCAAGTCCTCTTGGCAAGCGAGCATTACAAATATGATCATATTGACCACTAGATCCATCTCCTCCCTCCCCCTCCAAATGTACCTGTGAAAATAGAGCATGATTCAACCTGGGAGACTTAGGCCTAAAATAGAAAAGAGGGATGGAAGGGTAAATGAAGCCTATAAGCTTTCGGCTGAATATCATCCTTCTAACCAAATTAGCTATGTCAAAGTCTTGTAAAAGCAAAATATCACCTTACATTTTTTTGTTAAATCTCAATAACTTACATATCACCAAGCAAAGGTTAATTAATAGCTGAAAGAAGCGAATCATTTAGCAGAGAAAAACTTACATGTCGTTGGGGAAACAATTTGCATATCTGCTTTATGACAACAGATTGCTTATAAAGACGTTCTGAGGTAATTGCCATCTGCAGATCAGAAACTGTCATTAGTCACAATTTTTTGATAAAATAAAACAATTCCTAAAGAACCTAACATAAGCATAAATCTAAAACCCCATAGATAACACAAACATCAAAAACAGGTAGTCCTCACATGCCCCAAGCTCTGTGTGCGAATAAGGTTGGGATAGAACTTTTCGAGCTTTTCCATGCTATTTTTTTCCAACTGCAAAGGGGAAAGATAAAAGATAAAAATACCTATAGTTATCATTCAGAAAACTCTCAATTCTCGTGAAGAAACCGAAAAAGGATCAAACAAAGTTAGCACCGTGGCACCAGCTGATTTAAGCAATCCATATTTGATCTTTAATTCATGAGACACTCTCTCAATCTTAACCTTCCCTATATATAGAACATCGTTTATCAGATGCTTAACAAATGTAAACACGAAATTGTTAAACAACCAGTAATAATAACTAAGGAACAAGCATCACAGAAAACCTTGAGCCAATTGTTCTTTGCTTCGACGAAGCTTCTCTTTCAAGTTAGTCAGTTTCTCGCTTTGACTAACTTCCCAGTTCAGTTGATCATCAGCTTTCCCCTATGGCAACACAGACCAAAATTAATCAGAACTAAGAGAAAAAAACATTAATACACAAATAAAATTTCCAACAAAGAGGTAGAAATCAAACCTTTGCGGCAATCAGTCCGTTTAATTTCGAAAATAAAGATTCACGATGGCTTTTCAATGATTTTAACAAACAATTATACTCATTTAATCTGCAAAGCACAGTTCATCAAAACAACAAAAAAGAAAACAGTCAACAGTCAACAGTCAACAGCTTAAAATTTCAAATTCTACAAAATATTCTACTTTTCTAACGACAAGTTTTTAATGTACCTGTAATTAACGCAAACGGCGCAAATAGAAGCGCAATTCGAATTGTCGCAAATACCGCAGTTACTGGCTTTCTTTGACATCGTCTGATTATAAAATCTTCTTCTTCCTCGTCAAATGAATTGAAAATCGAAATCCATAAAAAGATATTACTCTGGAGTAAAAAAAAAGGGGGGGGAAGGATTCCCCTTAGCGCCGCCCACTTTTCGTTGTTTTGAAGGGAAAAGTGTGGAAGAGGTTGAGCTGAGATGTAATCGACGGCGTATGATGAATCAGTGACCACCGGAGATGGATCACGATAGAGAAGGGTGAAGAGTGCAACTGAAGACGACGCCGTTTGACCTTCCCTTCTACATGTGGATTGTGTAGAGCTCCGTTATCATCCCGACTCTGAATAAAAACTTTGATAAACTACGCATTTAGTACTTAATTTATCAGTTTTAGTTTGTTTTAATATTTAAACTTTTATTTTTTTTTATAATCATACGTAATGTTTAGTTTTTATTTCATTTTAGTTTTCATTCGTAAAAAATTTAACGCATTTAATACATAAACTATCAATTTTTATCCATTTTAGTATCTACACTTTCAATCTTTTCAAAACTTAACATTAAATTTTGAACGACAACTAAAATGAAAAAAAAAAACTAAAGTTTTAAATGGTGAGGTACGAAAATGAAATAAAAACTAAATTTTATATATATATAAAAAAATTAAAAATCTAAGTATTAAAATAGATCAAAATTGATAGTTTAAATTACTAACGTGTGATTTATCTTGAAAACATTTTAGCTCAAGTCTAATTAGTAATTACATAAATTTTAAATTAAAAACGTCTATATATTTTAATTATTTAATAACCTAATACTAAAAATCTATCTTTTATTTTAGATAAAATATTATTAAAAAAATTGTAACACACATTTTCCGTATACGCTTCCGTTCACAATTCACATATGTCACATGATTTTTAAAACATTTTTAGTACTTGAAAACCAATAAAATTTTGTTTTTTAGATAAAACAATTTTATAATATAGTTTATAAAACATTCTTAAAATACACACACACATATATATATATATATATATATGTATTAAACATGTCCATTCAAATTAAAAATATTGGTTCATATTATCCATATTTTAAATAATATAAAACGATTCAGTTGATATATTACAAACCATTTTCCGAAATTGTTAAACAGAGCTAATAGGACATTCATAAGTACATGTCACTAAACTAAGTCAAAATTTCATCATAGGATGTCTTACTGATATTGTAGATATATTCATGGCTTTTACCTACACGTGAAAATCATCACATGTAAGTATATACTTAGCGAGGCATAATAATAATACAAATGAGGTGTAACCAAAATATAAGTATAACATAAAATATCAAATACAAATTAAATCATATACATCATAATAATACATAAATTTGGCTTGGTAAACCATGTTTCTTTCACATAACCTGCAAAACAATATTTAGTATGCCCAACATACCTATCAATCAGTATTTTTCCAATTTATCCTTTTATTTGCCCAATGTATGTTGAATGAGAATGCAAGGTACATGCGTTGCACCTAAGTGTCGAAATGGTAATTCACAAACTCATTATGAATTTCATGGATGCACACATAGTGCCGAAATGGTAATTCACAAACTTATTATGAATTCCATGAATTCCATGGATGCACACATAATACCAAAATGGTAATTCAAAAACTTATTATGAATTTCATGGATGCACACATAGTGCCGAAAGTACATATACTACTAATACGAAAATGCAACATATGCATTAAACAAAATCGATCGATAACCATCATACACAAAGTATGTCTAGTGTCGAAATGGTAATTCAAAAACTCATTATGAATTTCATGGACGCACACATAGTGCCAAAAGTATATATAGTACTAATACGAAAATGCAACATATGCATTAAACAAAATCGATCGATAACCATCATAAAAAAAGTATGTTGAAATGCACCTATGGCTCTCAATGCATATACAATGGGCCTTTAAGTCAAATTCGCAGATTAAACATTTATTTTTTAAACATCGATAATTGTTAAAACAATATAAAAGTTTATCCATTTATTTTAGAGCAGTTCATACTCTAAAATTATTCGTAAACTCATTTCCATAAACTTTATGAAAATATTTCAAAATACTATAAAACATACTTTTATCAAAACATTCGAGGTTGACTCATCGCAAGTCATCCTCATATCATATAAGTACATAATATATGCACTCACTTGGTATGCCTAAATATTATGCCTTACTGACGAAGTCCAACTATTCTTGAACTTTTTCCTTGCCTTTTTGGTTTGTTTATATCACAAATTTGATCACAAACTACACAAGCATCCATAATCACATATACAAATATAAAATACAATGTTAGTATCCTTACTAACATTTATACAAAATATTAATACTCAAAAGTACAATAATTATTTCCTAATTCTTTTAAAATTCATCTTAACTTAAAATTTCAAACTGAATAGTATCGATATTTATCTTCTAAGGTACCGATACCCAATTCAGTATTGAAACCATTTTTCATTATGGAAATCCATTTTTCAATTATAATATCGATACCTTCCTCTTGGTATCGATACCTCCACATCAATATCGAAACTACTTTAATCAGTATCAATGTTGATCATCGTGTTCATCCTCTTTCCTCCAATTTAACCTTATAGTATTGGTACTGTTCTTCCAGTACCGATACCATTACCCATATTTTACGTTTTTTATTTCGATTTTTACCCAAATTTCCCTTAATCTCTTACTCTTATCTCCAACCATACCATTAAACTCATCATCACTTAACCCAACTAACTTACATCCATAAATCTCCTTATAACATCCAAAATCTCCAAAGAACACTCAAAACTAAAAATCACACCAAATTTTCTAACATGTTTTAATCACTTCTAAGGATTCAAATCTCTTATTTACATCTTTGACAAGTCAATTATGTTTTAAACTCCAATTTCTGACCAAATTTCATCAAATCACTTAAAAACTCATTTTATTAAATCACTAATATCTTAGTTTTATTCTCTTAAGCTTTCCTTAAGCTTCTATATCACTTAAGGCTTCTATATCACTTAAGGCTTCAAAACCAACCCAAAAATGGAAGGAAAAATCAACTTGAAGAAATCTTACATTTGCTATGGAGTTACAGGGAAAAAAATAAGAAGAAGAGTAGAAAACCCAAAGTTTCAACCTTATCCTTTCCCCCTATTCAACATTTAATAAATATCTCTAAAAGAAATAAATATTAAATTCATTTCCTTCTAAAAGACCATAATATCCCTCCAATCTTCCATCCTTAATAAATAGTCTTAACTATAATTTCCTAAATCAGTCCTTGTACTTTTTAATTTTTTCAAATTAAACCACCAAATTTTAAATCCTTACATTATAGTCACTGACCCGATGTTTGAAATATTACAAAAATAATAATAAATTCATAACTGTCAACCGTAAAATAAATTTAAAATATACTTGGAAAAAATTTATGAAACGATAAATTTATATTTATATAAAATTTTAATTGTCAAATATTAGTATATAGAAAATAATATATAAAACTAAGATCAACGATCATTTATTTTTATTAGATAAATTTGAATTATTTATCTTATTGAATTAAAAATTTAAAGTTTTTTAGTAAACTAAAATGATTTCAATGTAATATATGTTCTAAATACTCTAAATCATTTGACAATGAACACTCAATCACCCTGTTGTAGTCGCTGGTGCTCGAACATGTGACCTCTAGTAACAACAATGATTCTTTTAACCACTGAGGTATGTTGGTTCGTGCAATTACCAATTTAAAGCTAATTAAACATATTTTAAAAAATAAAAATAATATATCAAATTTTAATTTTAAATGATTAAATATTGATTTAAAATGATTAAATAACATTTTAGAAATAAAATATTTTTAAAATCTAGTTCAATGGGTTAAACCTAGAGAAGACAATTTAACCCAAATCCAACGGGTTCCGACTCGATAGGGTCGGATTTTTTTAAAAAAAATTTAGGTTTGGGTTTGGTCTGGTAGGGTCGGGTTCGGGTGGAGGGTTAAAAAACTTTGATCCGACCCGACCCGAGGATAGTAATGTAATTTCCTTAATTTTTTTATTTTTTAAAAATAAGTCCTTATTTTATATCGTGTCTGTTCAGAGTCCGGTGGAGGGAAGGTATATATTTTTCAGGTCGAGTCGGATCGACAGGAGGGCGCATATTTTTGGGTCGGGTTGACCAAAAACCTGACCCATTGCCATGTCTAGATTAACCATTCTTTTTCATTAAAGTGTGTTTATGAGAAAATAAGGTGAAAATTCTGAAATGAATTATAAATATAAAATTGGAGGCCCATAACGAGAACAAAGGCATGTGCATAAGGTCCAATGAGGACTCATTATTGGTTTTTTGGCCCAATATAGTAGTCCAGAAAAAACTTTTGCATAATAGGATTGTAGAACTTTATTTTGGGATCCTCACTGTTCTAATTTATTATTGTCTAAGGAACTTGTCACATTGAGGTGATAAATTCTATTAAAATAATATTTTCCATAATTTGATTTAAACTAAAAATTGTGAGAGAAAAAACTTTGAAACTTGTCACCTCGATGTGACGTGTAACACCCTTAACCTGCATACATGTACTATTACGAGTTAAAGATGTCACATTAATTATTCAAAATATTTCTTAACCCAAAATGGATAAAATTTTGCTTCTCTCAAATATTTCCAATTCTTAACCTTTATTCTAAAATAATTAATCACATAAAATTAAAATATAATTTTTTTAACTTCTATTTTAAATCCAGTTTCAAGCAGATATTATAAATAAAATTGTCTAAAATCTGTCTAAATAATTAATCATTAAGTATTAATAAAGGCATATTGCAACAAAATAACTCTAACGTTGCACAGTGCTATCAAATATACCTTTATCGTTTTTTACACATCCGCCCATTCAAAGTTTAGTTTTGGGTTAAAAATCACACTCAGTGAATGGAAACCGTCAGTCAATTGACGGTCAATGCCAAATACTGACCAAGCATGTACACATGGACGTGGATGCTAACATGGCGTGTCCATATCAAATTTCATGATGATGTGGCACTACCACCTAAGATTTTTTTAAAATAAAATAAATAATTATTATGTTTAATATTTTTATATTTAATTATTTATGATCAATCATAGAGTGATACATGTCACTAGACCAAGCTTATTACTTGTTAAGTAATGAACTAAATGATATTGAATAAATACTTCATTTGAATTTAATGGAAAAAATTTGAAACACATGTTTATACTTTCTCCTATACTATTCC